TTATTTTGCTATTTTTTTACAGCTAGATTCAACTGTTTCATTCTATCCATATTCATTTAGGCAGACATAGGGCGAGATCCATGTGAATCGGATATGCCAGATGCGTTATTGGTCTGTCAAGAAATGCAGGTGGCAATAGAGACGCAAAGATTTGGCTTTGAGCCAATCGGAAGCTGTCCTGAGACTTTATTGCGACTCAACCATAGCGGTTAGTGGTCCAGGGTAAAGTGAGGAAACTTTTTACCCTAAGAATGTGGTGTTCCAGTGTCGAAAGAACTGTTCCTGCCTTGTACCGAAGAAGGCCAATTTGTTCCGAGAAGGCGCATACTGTATGGTACGGTACATGGCGAGAAGCTTACTGTATACTTCTACAATTTCATGCCATTCCTGTCAGCAGCGCTGATGAATATGATCGCTAGGTGAGGAAAAAGCTGCAGCCGACCCTGCTTTATACTTCTGATTTAGGGCGACTTCATGGTACAACTCCCGATCCAGGCTTGTGCGAGAGATCGGTTTACACAAGATGGGAATTACACATTTGTCTCCTTTGGAGGTATGATATGGGACATGATATGCTTTGCTGCATTAAAGGCTTAACCGCATGTAATTTCAGCACTATCAGTCACCTCCCGAAAACCCCTACCTCGTTTTGGTATGGCGAAACCCAGAAGAACTAATGGACAAGGACTACCCGCCAGATGATTTACAGGTTTGGCTTTCTCTTACAAAGCTTAGAGTCCCTTTCCTTTATTTATTCAGACAAATAATTTATTTTTCACTTGCTTTTCATTCATTTATATGTATTTTTTTTCTTCACACATTCATTCCGCACGACATGAGTTTAGGTGACAGCTATCGACGCTTTGCCAAAAGGATATCCGGAGAGTCTCTTTCGATTATACCGTCGAGCATGTAAGCTAGCATCTCATCTGCTTATCTCAGTTCTCGTACGTTAAGATTTATTTTGTTTGATATTTAGGTCATCCATATTTGTTCTTGAACCGATCTCCCTGTCTAATCCAAGACCAGCTGGAACAGATGCGCTATATCAGGTATGTACTCAACTTTGATCAATTCGTGATTGACCAATTTTGAATATAGACGCAATGTTCGTGAGCAACTGAACACAACCAGAGCATTCACTGCTATACATGAGTCTCTACTCGTCGGGAATAACTCTATCTCTGTGAGTTACCGCCATCGATTCTTTTCGTTTTCTTAAAGGCAGCGTCCACTCAAACTGGTGACTTCTGGAGTTTGAGAACCTTGTGATGGCGGACC